TTTCATACGTCATTGCTGAAGATCACTACCACCACCTTCAAATTACCCCCATTGGGAAGCTATGCACTTAGTTCACTACCCTTCAAAGCAATTTGGGGACTCTTTCTGGAATGGCCATCAAAGCTGTTGTCATATTACCCTTGATGCCCTGAATGTAATCAAAATGTCCTCCCTTCAATATTTCCTTTATCTTCAGGTTTTAAAAAAGTCATTTGGGGCCATTCATTGAATAGGGAATGTTGTTTACTAGCTAAAAATTCCCTCACACACAGGGCTGTGTGAGCTGGTGCACTGTCATGATGCAAGAGCCATGAGTTGTTTGCCACGATTTTCAGTTAAGATTTTCTGATTTCTCTATCAATGTTTACTTGGTCTGCTATGCTCCCTGCGTAGGTGACAATTTTAATGCACAATCTGACAAATTTTTCGATGTTTTTGTCAGTTCTACTTATTACTGGTTGCTCTCACCTCTTCATCAGTGACACCTTCTCTCCCCTCAGACCAATGTTTAATCCATTTGTATGCTGCTGTTTTCTTCATGGCTTTATCCCCATAAACTTGGACTAACATGTCAGATTTCACTTCCACTCTAGCCAAGTTTAACAAGAAATTCATAAATGTTTGTCTATTGCTGCAATTCAAGCTCTGACATTCTTGCAGGGGCACACAAAAACATGCAAAGTTAATGAACACCACTCAGCAAGACACTGCCACATGTCAACACAAACACGGCCGTGAGACACTGATATACCAAGGTTATGGAATGTTACTGAGCTGTTTGTACAGTGCTACCAACTTAAGCAAATACTGGCAAGTTCACAAACTCAATTGTCAGACCTCGCATACTATATACTTCTATTTATAGGAAGCACAAAACCAGACAAAATTAATAATCTATAATGTTAGAAGTGGTTTATCCTTGATAATGGGGTAGGAGTGGGTGGCTAGTGACTAGAAAAAAGCTTCTACAGGGATTGTAGGGGATCAGTAACATTGTTTCTTGATTGGCTGCTGGTTACACATTTGATTTGTGAACTTCACCAAGCTATACTATTTATGATATGTGCAATTCTCTGTGTGCGTATTAAGCATCAATAAAAAGTTAAAAAAATATATTTACTAAAACCCTAATTAAAGAATTAGACAACATACAAAAAGAAAAGTCAGATTTGGGGAGGGGTGATGTTCTAGAAATAAAAACAAAACACTAGAGTCATTAAAATATATGATTATTAAACAGGAAATAAAAATAGCAGAAGGAACTTGTCATCTGGAGGAAAGAATGGAAGAAATTCCCCAGTACGCAGTACATTGGGATAGAGAAATACTACATCGAAGATATGAAAGAGTAATTAGACACAAGTATCCATAGAAATGAGAATTTTCTAGAATTAATGCACAATACAATAATTGTTCCTGAGGAACAAGTTCCCAAGCATAATAATTACAAATTATCTACAATTGAAAGCCTAATATCTTAGTCTTGGAAAAGTTCTTAGGGATGGACTAGTCTCATCTTCTTTGTTTTAAAGATGGGAAAACTGAGGCCCAAAAAGTGATTTGCCTGATTAATGATAAAGACAGAAATAAACTTAATGTTTTATTTTAAGGATTATGGGTAAGAAGGGCAAATTAATAATTTCTGAACTTTCACTTTCCTACTGATACCACCATTTATAACAGCAATCTGAAAATAATCCTGTTCATAAAAAGATTTAACTCACAAGTTGACAAAAGAAGGCATTACCGATTCAACTGCTTACTATGTTGTAAATGCTTAACAAATGGTATTTAATGAGCAATTAAGGCAAACCGGAGCTAATCATACATACGTTGAAGAGTTTCAAGATAACCTTCCTATTTAAATTTAACTCCAAGGCCATTATAATCATTTCAGTGCATACACCTCATATCATATCTATTATTGTCCTCTATTTAAATGTTTCAACATTCTAGACTGCTTTGGAATCATATTTTTGTCTATTATATACATCATGATATAATGTAAATTACTTTCTTCTTTTGAAATAGAACAATTCACTGTTTAATTGAGCCTCTAAATGCTCATTGTAAGTCTGATACAAATTTCAAACTGTTCAGAGGAGCAAAAAATGGAGTGAAGACCTTTTATAAGGCACTCTCTTCTCACACAATGAATAATTTCTGCCAGTTCAGGGTCTTATTTTAATTCAAGTACTTAAGAAGAAATGATCTAGTCAGTACACATATAGGGAAATGTGTTTAGCCCTTATTCACATTTCACAATTTTGGATTTGTAGAAAGACAATTTCTATTATAAGAGTCATGAATTTTAAAACTGTAAATTCTACAACCACTTTCATTAACTTTTAAAAGAATATTTTTCAGAAATATAAAAAACTTAGTGTCAGAATGAAGTGATTTGATGTGTTCTAGGTTGAACTATTTTTAGAAATTTCTAATTTATCTTTTTGTCACAAGTAAAACAACTTCATTATGTTATAAAGCTTTAACCCTAGAAATATATAAGGCACAAGTACAGTAGAACCTCTGTAAGTTGACCGCCTAAGGGACTGTAACAATCTGGTCAACGTGCAGAGATAGTCAACACAAGGAACTAGGCCTCCTGTACTGATACGTGGTGCACGTCCCGTCTATGAGAACTCGGTCAACTTAAGGAGGTGGTCAATGTAGAGAGGTGGCAAACTATGGAGGTTCTACTGACTTCAATATATTTGGATTAAAATGGGGGGAAAAGGTTGGTACTTAACAGACTCTCAGGAAAAAAGTAGTATTTTTATGGAGGAGTCTTGAACTTTTCAGAGAACCTTGATCAGTTTTAGCTGCTTTTGAGAGTTAAAATAATATTTTAGTCCAGGGATGGTGGCTCATTCCTGTAATCCCAGTACTTTGGGAGGCCGAGGTGGGCCTAACTTGAGGCCTGGAGACGGAAACCAGCCTAGATAAGATAGTGTTTTGTCTACGAAAAACAGAAAAATTAGGCAGGCATGGTACACAACTATAGTCCTAGCTACATGGGAGGCTAGGCAGGAGGATCACATGAGCCCAGGAATTGGAGGATACAGTGAGCTGTGATCATGCCACTGCACTTCAGCCAGGGTGATGAAGTGAGAACGTATCTCTGAAACATTAAAAAAAAAAATACTTAAAATTTCAATACATTTTAACCATTCATACTTATAAATCTGACAATGATAAAGGGGAAGAATTATTAAAATTAGTTAGCAAATTTAGTGGAGCAAAAATGAAAAATAAAATTAAAATAAAAACAACAGGCCACAAAAAGCACTTCTCTCAAGTACTTACTTCACAAATAACTCATGCAAAGGCTGAAAGAAACCAGTAAGAGGTTTATTTATATAAATGAACAAAGTATACAGATAAATCACACAAAGACACTAGAGAAACAGTGGTCTCTCTCTTATACTCTACTAAATTAGCAACAATATAGAAAACCCCTACCCAAATGGTGACACTGTAAAATGTTACAACCCTTTGGAAATGCAATAAGGCAAACGTAAATCATAAAACTATTTATATTATTTCACCTAATAATACGACTCCCAGGAATTTATCTTAACAAAATAGAAACCTAAGTATTCACCAATATAAAAATGGTTTAAATAAATTATGAATATGAAGATAATTAAGATAATTGCCAAAACTAAATACAAAGAGATAATATCAAATGAAAAACAGTCAATTAAAAAGTATAGGTGCCTTAAGATTGTAATGAAGTGAATAAAAAAGGGGAGGAGAAATATAGAAATTAAAATTCTGAAGTTACTACGTCAGGATGGTGAAGATAATGGGTAACTTTCCCGTTTGCCAAAACTTCCTTCAATGTTTTCAATATAAAATAAAAAAATTGGCTATCATTTTTAAAAAATTACTTGCCTTTTCAAATAATCTTTACTCTTCTCCATTAATAAACTATACGTGTCCATTTTTTAAGTCTGAGAAATAGAACAGAAATACCTCGGCTGCATTCTGAAACTTAAATATCTCTCTGCTGGACTCCACTTACCATGGATGAAGACGCGCTGTAACTTGTGCCGTTTCATTAGGCAGAGGCGGCCACGGCCACCTTCAGTTGACACAAACTATGGGGCACTAGGTGTGAATAACTAAATTATAAACTTTGTGTGTTTGGCATTTTATGTCAATGGATTATCAATACTCTTTTCTGTCTCACCCTAAGAATTAGTTTTAATATTTTCACTTAAAATGTTGCCAACGTGCTGAAAACATTCTATTGATGCATTTAACTTTTTATACTGAGTTTACATTAGGTTGACTACTTTAGGTTACAGAGTTTAAAAATCTCAGCTAGTGCTTGCAAGCAGGTAACCACCTTTAAAAAGGAAGTCCATATACACAAAATCTAAAACTCTTACTGTTATAAAATCTTTAATACGTTTCCCTTTTGAAACTACAGTTGAGTGAAGGAAGAGGGGATCTTTGTGTTTCTGAGTCCAGCTGCATATTACTACATGGCATTGCTTTCCCATAACACAAATTATGAAGCACTCATTGTATAGGAAATTTACGATTTTGTAATAGGACCACATTTTCAAAATCATGGTAAAGAGGGATAGGAAACTCTCAGGAAACTATATGAATAAAAAAGCTATGAGAATAACTTTTTAAAACTATTCAGAGCAGGAGACTAATGGAAATACAGGGCAGCTATTTCAACATCTGCAAGTATCACTTGAAAGAGCAAACGGCTGAAGGTACAAACAATGTCACAGGGACAAATGATACAGAGAGGGCGACTATGTGGACAAAACTGCAGGAAAATATCTTCTAGCTGCCAAAATGCAGAACTGTAGGGGCTGTCTTCTGCTCGGATAGTAGAGTACCAGTGAATTTAATTAAATATTACTCTTCTATTTATAAAAGTGGCAACCATAACAATTTGGTTCATTTACTAATATTTATTATAAAGATTTGTTTCCAAGATCTAAATAAACACAAGTAATACTAGATGAGTGCAGTTTTATCACAGAAATGTTTGTAATAATAACAAACTCTCTAAAACACAAGAAAAGAGCTCAATAGCAGCCATTTCAAAAAAGTTCATGGATTTCAATAAAATGGAGCCACCAAGGAAGCCTAAATAAAGTCAAAATAACACTAAATGACATTCACTTTTGTGAAACTGAAATACATGGCCCGTATTTTTTCTTTGATTAGAAAATTTGTTCAACTTTTTCACAGGAAAAAACTGAAGACACATCAAATTCAGAAAGTTAAACTTTCCTGAACCCAATCCTATTCACATTTTAACAGAAAACTATCCTAAAAGAACATTCCATAGCACGGCAAGGAACTGAATTACCAGGCCATATATAAGGCAAAGCAAACAAATCATACACTATAGAAACCTGTAAACGGTGGACATTTTCCTCCATGCAAAAAATAAAGTCAGGAATAAGCGTCCCTTGCATGTAGCTTGTCAGTCTGCATCTGCGCTCGGGATGCAAATGCCACACAGGAAATGGTATTCCCAGGTCAATCTCAAAATGTCTTAATTACATCATCTTCTCCCTTTGTCTCGTTTAGCGTTATATATTCACAACTCAAAACCTGTTCATTAGGCTCCTCGGGTTTCGATTTTTTAAGTGCCAACTCTGCTGGGAGGAGAGATGAGCAATGCTCCAGAGACTGAGCGATGTCGTCAATTGTCCACTTGTCTTCAGGAAGGGCGTGCTCCTCCAGCGTGAAAGGTCCCTGTTTGGTCCGCGTCAGCTCTAGCACATTGGCACAGGAAGACAGCTCTACAGCAATGAAAGGCAAACAAGAATCCAGAAGACAAATGATTCAGTGTTTCATAGTTTATAATTTTTCAAATGACAGAACTCGACTCAACCCTCTCCAAACCACCACAAAAAACTGTAATAATCACCACCAGTGAAACTGTAATAATCCAACATAAGAACTAAGAGCCTGGAGATAAAGAAATGATTAAGTAGCAAAATATTTAAAATCACACCTAAACTGCTTTAATGGCAACACAGAGCCTGCACGTGTTTTTCTTGGTTAGCTCATGAAGCGACACTATGTGAATACTGCCCTTACTTTACAGATGAGGTGGCATCACCTGCCAATGTCACAACTGCCAGTAGCAAAAGGCAGAGCCAGAAATCCAACTCTCTGGCTGTTAGCAAGACTGTGGCTTCCAGGTTTTAAAAAATTTGATTTGCATCTATGAAAATAACTTCGAGAAGGATATCCCTTTTTTCTTTGGATCCCTACTTTGAGTTAAAATGTTTTTTATTTGAAAAATGTTGGCTCTTACATTCATTATTCCTGTCTTCATTTTCTGCTCCTCTGGCTCTTCTTTCCCATTCTGAGCACTTCACAGCAGCTGCTGAGGCTGACAATTGCGTGCCGTAAACCTACAATGCTTCTAAAGCTGAAGGCAGCAAGAGTTCAGTACCTCCGGCCAGTACTCGGAAATAAGAAACACGGAAAAGTCCCGCTTCCCATCGAAAAGGAATATTACTCTCTAAATGGTAATTCATAATTCATTTTTATGCTTACCTTTGCCAATGTCACTGACCAAGCTTCTGATATAAAAACCTCCTCCACATTCAACATCTGGAATGTTAACAGTGACATGGTAAATTGCTCAGCTCCTATGAAATCCACTTTACATAGAAATGATGCCCCTCAACAAATGTAAAAATGCACTATGCAAACAATCGTGCGATAAAATATTTATGCGCTAAAACATAAATTATTCATCCAGCAGCATATGTGTTTGTGAGATGGAAAAGTCAGAGTGTGGAGAAAGCAAACAGCAGAAACTCACGAGCACATTTTAAATTAACTGGCAAGTCACATCACGTTAATACTTCAGCTTCGTTCATTTAATAGGTTTCAAATAGTTAGAAATCGCAGCTCTGCTATTGACAGCTGCAGAGTTTTAAAAAATATTTTCAGATTTGTACATTCAAAAATATATAAGCAAGCAACCAATGAAAAGCTCCCTTCCCAGGGACAAGAATTACATGTGGTATACTACATAACACGTGGCGAGCTCGACATACTGAAGTGTTCTCTTAGAAATATTTCTTTAAAAATCACAAAATAACTAAAAATTACACAATGTCCTCAAATTGAATGTATATCTAAGCATCGTAACACAATATAACACAAGTTTACTGGTTGAGAGTGGGACTCTGTGTTGTATTTATTCATCAACAAGACATCCTAAAAAGAGATGCCATATCTCTACACAAAAGGGCTACATTCTAGCTGTCTCCAGTCTGACTGGTACAAATTCCCACTGGGGGAATTCATCAAAGTTCAACACCTGAAGATTCTAATTCCTTTTCTTTTTGTTTTAGTCAGCTCACAGTGTGAGGCCACTGCTAAGAGAAAAGATGGGCATTAGGATCAAATACAGGTGCTAACATTCTTGCATTGTAATTTGACTTTGGTGAAAAGACAGTTCTTTTGGCCTATGACACTCTAGTTAAAATTATGGATGATTTATATGCAATCAGAAAAATTCGGAAATTTTTCTTACTTTCATAAATTGTAGCTACTCTGCCAAACCAGCCGTTTGGCTTTGTTGGAATGTAGCAAAACATTTGTAGTGGGGTTTTTTTTTCATTATTTGTCAAGTATTTTAGAATCAGAAAACTCAAAAAGGAAGTGCCTTTTCAACCGTACAAAACCACACTGTGCAGGAACTAAATAAACATTAAATAATAATGTCAATAGGAAAAAGCAACATAATTTAGGAAAACAGGTTTTGGCAACTTATTTCTGAAAGGAAACCTATTCAGGACATAAGGGTAGGATCATTTAAGGAAGGCTGAGGATTAAGAACCACAGCTTTTGATTCTTTCTGGCTCTACACAACTGTTTGCAGCCTTAAAAACTGCCAATAATAGAAACAAACTTTTTGGCTTTCATATTTATTTTGAATATGGATTATAAAGTCAAATTGATCATCTGAATTAAAATGTGACCATGTGTCCAAGAAATTTCTGCCTTACCCATTTTTTTCATATTTTCAGCATCTTTGGTAATAACTTTATAGGTGACAAAAAAGATGGAGGGAGGCTTACTCCATTCTTAGAATCTCTTGTCCGAAACCTAAAAAATCCTTCGTTTTAAAAGGACAAATTAATGTAAGATACTGAATGTATCAGACACTTGCCAAAATGGAAGGACTAAAATAATAAATAACTAAAATGCAAAAAATATAGACTTCTTACCTACTCTTCTCTACAGAGAGACCTAAAGTATGTTATTTCCAATTCCAAGATAATTTAGCCTAGATTCATCAAATGTATGACCAAAAAGGTACTTAGTCTTTCTTAAATTCAAATTAAAAAAAAAAAGCCTCCACTATCCCAGGGACACATGAAAATTACACAGAAGTAGCCAAACACAAAATAAACATGTGTAAATACCAATGATTTCAAATCTCCTCCTCTTACCTAACGTGAAAAATGGTGGCTGGAATTTCTGAAGGGAGATGCTGTACACAGTAACTGGCCTGGCAGGCTTTGCTTCTACAACTTCCCCTCTCTTCATCAAGGTTGAAAGTCTTTGGCCATCTTTCTTTAATGCAGAATAGCTTGCAAGAGAAGAGAGGGACAGCAAGAATTGAGACTGACTTTGAATGACTGAGAGATAATTTCATATTAAGGCATAAAAAGAAAGGATGGCTAGCAGCCCTTTAAATCGAAAATCCTTCTAAAAAAGGAACTAGTTTTCTCTTCCAATCTACACCACAATGCTGTCCTGGATAGTTTCCAAATACATGGAGCTCTGAGGCTAATGTAAGCTCGTTCTGACACACAATGGCAGTGTAGCCAATTTTATTCTTTAACTATCTTCCTGGAGGGGTCTATTCATGTCTTCTCTTTACTAGGCCTTCCTGGATTAGACTCGTCCCTTCACCACAATTCTGAGAAAAGTGCTATTTCTGGGCACCAAAGAGATGCACTTGGATAAGCATCAGAAGAGCTAATAAACACTGGACTAGCGCAGATATCAGGCTGTGGCAACACTTAGGAAAAGGGAGGCCACATCCCACTGTATCTTAGAGGTCCAAAAGCTCCACACCCTGTCTAAATCAGGTTCACCTTTACTCGTCAAACACCTACCACGTCAGATTTGAAACCTGCCTTGGCATTAAGTGGAAGCCCATCCATTTTAATTAGAGTGACGTAAACCATTGGAAAGTGAAATGAAACATGTATCTACATTCAATAATCAAACTTACAGGGGAGGTACTTGCATTATATTCCCAGTAAATTTCTGTAGAATGCCTTCAATATCTTCTTGTGTTATTTTATCTGCCAAAAATGAACAAACAACAGTGACACTAAAGCAACCACAGAAGTGCAGTGCTGCTTTTATGGAATCAGCAGCTCTGAAAACTCATTTAAAGAACTTTCAGGCTCGGCGCCTATGGCTCAACCGGCTAAGGCGCCAGCCACGTACACCTAAGGTGGCGGGTTCGAATCCCCAGCCCGGACCCGCCAAAACAACAATGATGG